CCCCCCTTAGAAGCTTATTGGATATGCCAGTTTCTATATCACTAAACCTCTACCAAACAGACTTCTGGATAGCTAACTGAATAAGCTGTGAGTCCCATTAAGCTCATTAAGGACCTGTTTGTTAGCAGCTTAATGAGACTCGTAGCTTATTCGGTCAGCTAGACATGCCTGTTTGATAGAGGCTTAATGATGTAAAACTGGCTTATTTTCCATCTACGACAAACCTTCCCAAACAAAAACCTTCCCAATCTATACAGACAGATTAACCCACACAGACAACTTTTAATAGAAAACCAACTAAACAGGCTGCTTACAAACAGGCCCTAGGCTTGCCAAACATAGCCTTAGACTCTCACAACAAGACTTTCATCCAATATTTTTGTCAAAATTGTTTTGCCACAAAGTGATGTATCATCTGGGATATTTAACTCTTATTTCTTCCATACATGTACTCATTTGGCTTAACATGATGCATCTACAGCTCCCCCTTTTGCATAAGGAATTATTTTCATCTGGGCTACGTAAGCGCTCCGGTGTTCTTCTTTACGGTCCTCCTGGTACCGGGAAAGTATGTTATCATCGTTTGAATTTGTAACGATTCTCTCATTTCTTTTGAGTAAATTACGTTTTTCGCCCCCGTGGTTTGTTAAAGATTACGATTTTCGTTCCTGTGGTTAAAAATTTGCGGTTTTTGTCCCTATGGTTTGTAACTCATTGCTATTTTCGTCCTTATGATTTACAATTTATTGTGGTTTTGGTCCCTGTGGTTTACAATTCTTTACTGTTTTGGTCCCTTGTACTTAAAAGTAGGGGGACGAAAATAGCAATAAATAACAAACCGTAGGGACAAAAATCGCAATTTATGAACTACAGGGATGAAAGTCGCAATTTTTAACAAACCACAAGGACGAATAATCTAATTTACTTTTCTCTTTTTAAAATTTGATGTCTTATCGCTCAATTGTGTGCTCTTGTCGACAAAAATTATGAATTCTATAGACTTTGTTAGCCAAAGCCGTTGCGACCGAATGTTCTCTCAATTTCTTAAGTGTCAAAGGTCCGGAACTGATCAACATGTACATAGGAGAGTCAGAGAAAAACGTACGAGATATATTTCAGAAGGTAAGTTGTTCTATCCAATTCTATAAGAGTGTGTTTGGTATCCAGAACAGGACAAGACAGAACAGTTGTTCAGCGTTTGGTAAGACAGAACTTGACAGTACATAATAGATAAAATGATCAATTTACTCCGAATGAGTTGTCTATATCTTCTATATATTTTGATTAATTTATGTAATTTTTAAATTATAACAAAATAAATATTTTTAGAACAAAATATATCATTAGAAATTTTTTGTCGAGACAATTAAAATGACACAAAAATAAAAGTTTATTTAGTTTCCATTTTTTATTATATACATTTTCTATATTATTTTATCATTATTAGTATTTAATAAATTACATAAATTAACCAAAATATAGAAACCGTATAAAAATAATATTTTGAGGACAATAAAGGAAAGTTTAAAGAGATAAAATACAATAAGATAAAATTTAAAGAATGAATAAAATTTAAGAGGAAGGTCGTATTTGATGTTTTAAAAGAGAATTAGGTATTATTTTGATGTTATATTGGTAAAATATAGGTCTGTTCCACCTTGTTCCATGAGGTGGAGGTGGGAACATTCTTGTTCCACTCTGTTTCACATAAAAATCCTGCCAAACATGGTACAGTGATCTCTGTTCTGTTTTTGTCGTGTCCCGTGTACCAACGCAACCTAAAGGTGCATTTGGTACATAGACCAGACTGGACAGGCGAGAGTGAGGTAGGTTGGTGAAAGAACTGTGAAAGGTATTAGGGTTTTATTTGACATGGTAGTTTAGTAATTTACCAATCTTGTCCGAACAAAAAAATTGCATTTTTATCCCATCCAATTTGCCTCGTCTCAGTATAATGTCTCACCAAACGTGAGACAACAAGTTTTTGTTATGTTCTGTCCCGTCCTGTCCTTCGTACCAAACACCCACAATTCTTTTCGGTGTGTAAAAAAACTTTACATGAGAATGAGCCGTTTTGCAGGCTCGAGCAGCCCGACCATGTGTCATCTTCTTTGATGAACTCGATTCTCTTGCTCCAGCTAGGGGTGCTTCCGGTGATTCCGGGGGAGTTATGGATCGTGTCGTTTCTCAGGTGATGCAAAACTGCATATTAACGGTTTGTATCATTTAATTTTCATTTTTTATTTATAGATACTTATTTTTGCTTTCGTGTAATCAGATGCTTGCGGAGATTGATGGCTTAAATGATTCATCCCAAGTATGCTATGCTGTATAATAGTCGTTTTCTTCTTTCTTTATATCGTTCTGATGTTACGGTTTATTAAGTTTCCACATATCGTATTTTTAGGACTTGTTCATAATCGGAGCGAGCAACAGACCAGATCTTATAGACGCAGCACTTCTAAGGCCTGGCCGTTTTGATAAGCTACTTTACGTTGGAGTCACGACAGACCCCTCTTATCGGGAGAGGTTATATTTCTGCTAAACCATGGGTCTAGTTCTTCTGTCATCCTAGCTTTTTATCATAATCGAACATGAAATTATGACGTTGGAGTTGGGATCATGTGAGAAATTTTTCATTTTCATGAGAATGTGAAATTGTAAGATCCCACGTTGGTTGGGGAGGGGAACAAAGGTTGTCTTGTAAGAGGCTAGAAGCATTTTAATTTTTAGAACCGTGAGTCCAGGTGTGTGAACAAAGCGGTCAATATCTGGTACAGTTGGCCTGGGATGTTACAGAATTAGCGGCGGACCTAGGAATTTTGCCGAGCGTTGCACCTTTAAGGTGGATCAAAGGTCCGCAAAGTCGTCCGATGTGTTTGTAGATGAATTGCATCGTTTCGGGTGATTTTTTACGTTTTTTGGTTGATTTCAAGGTACTTTTTTTGTTTTTTGGTTGTTCTCAAGGGACTTTTTCGGTTTAATAGGTTGATTTCGAGAGAATTTTTCGGTTTTTTGGTTGATGCTCCTTGTTTTTTCTAATATCTCATAGCACCATTGAAAGTGTAGCTGCTGCAATTTTTGAACCCCAAAAAAATTCTACTTGCAAAAATCGATTGAGTGGATGCTCGGGACCCACTCGGGCCTTCATGGGTCCGCCCCTCGTGTGAATGTTACGTTATATAAGTTGGAGGGTAGTATTGACAATTTTGTTTAATTTGCAGGGTTTTAAAAGCATTGACCCGGAAATTTAAGTTGCACGAAGATGTGTCTCTTTATTCGATAGCAGAGAAATGCCCCCCAAACTTCACCGGTGCTGACATGTATGCGTTATGTGCAGACGCTTGGTTCCATGCTGCAAAACGCAAGGTGAGACTTTTTAGCCCCTTTTTTGGGTAACTGTAGGTGTGCGGGCTGCTTATGCCCACCTCGAGTAATCCCATTCGGGTCGTGAAGATAACAACCGGGGAAATTCTCAGTGACCCTGAGGAGATTCGAACTGGCGACCTGTAAGGAAGTGCCCCAAGTAGAGATGGCAACGGGGTCCAAGGGTCTTGGGGCATCCCCACCCCCGTCCTGATCCCCATCGGGGATTTTTCCCTGTCTATACAATTTAATCTTTTACATAATGTTTTTTATGTATTAATGTAAATGTCAATTTTACGTTTAAAAGACATATAAGGCTAAAATATGAATTACCCAAATCTTAATTGTTACAATTGTATACAAGGGTAACATTAAAAAATGTAGTTCAAACACAAATATATCAGTTACAATACTTAATAATTGAAGTTTTATAGTCGTTATATCAACATAAAATTTGCCATGAACGACCAAATCAATAATCTAAATTTTTTACAAGTTTTCATTCATGGAGGATTGATTATTTTTATACATTATGTATACCAATTGGGTTTCTCACTGTATTATTATTCTTGATATATATATATATATACACACACACATAGAAATGTATAATTTTATACTCAGGGTCGGGGATGAAGGGTATCCCGATCCCGGTCAAACCGGGGTCAGGTATCGGGTTCTCCATCCCTAGCCCCAAGGTCTAGCCTTTATTTGCCAGTTGAGGTGGCTTCTTGTATCAAACTGGGTCTTTATTGAGTGAATAGCTAAGCTGGCTATTTTATTGCAGGTTTTAGCCGCGGATGCGGATCCGACTTCCGTGAAGGATGAAGTCGATTCTGTGGTTGTTGAATACGAAGATTTTGTGATGGTAAGTTTCTTAACTAATGAATCACTGGTATATGCAATTCGGTATCAACGTGTTGAGCTGGTTTCTGGGTGATAAATAGAAGTTCCTTGTGAAACAAAACCAACGCTATTGATGTTCTCTAAGGGTGCGTTCGGTATATTGACTGGACGGGATGGGTGAAAGAATTTTGGAAGGTTTTAGGGTTTTAAATTTTAGATGAACAGTTTAGTAATTTACCAATTCTGTCACATTTCCCAGATTCTTGTTTCACCTATTTTGGTGTCCTGCATACCAAACGCACCTCTAATGGCTATTGGAACATATCCAACAAATTCTCCAAAACGGAGAACTTTCTCCAAAATAGAGAGTAGGAGCAAGAGGATGAAATACAATATTTTTATTATATTCCATAAATAAGAAACTTTGATGTTAAATGTTCAGTAGAAAGAAATAATATTCTATTATATATATATATATATATATATAATATTTTTAATAATATAATTAATGTTGTAATCTTCAAAATAAAGAATCTGTTAGAATTTAATAGAATTTCTTTTTGAAATTTTGAATTTTGATTCTCCATTTTGAAGAATCTTCCCGAAAGATTGTTGCTTATTGGGACAAAGGGGAATTATATATATATATATATAGCAAACTGTCATACATGGATAAAAAAAAAGTAGATTTGTGAGTTTTTTATAATTTGCTACCAATAATTGTCATCATGATTTTAAGTATATTTGAAAGTTATTGAATCAGTCTATTGCTTTTGGAAGAAGCTACAGTATATAACTGGTTTTTGGTATTGAAAAGATCTGTTATTAATTTTTTGCAGGTGTTAAGAGATTTATGTCCCTCGCTTTCTCTTGCGGAGCTCAAAAAATATGAGTTGTTGCGAGATCAATTTGAAGGAACTTCTTCAAAATGAGCATTTTTGTTTAAAATCGGTGATGTCATACTTCGTTCAAACTAATCCGATGACAAGTCGTGACTGTGTTTGGGCAGGAAAAACTCATGATTCCGCCATTTTTGGAAGTCATGGATAGATTGTGAAAAAGTAAATACAAAAAGAGTGATAAAATGTTGTGATAACTTTTACATTAATAATCTTATAATGTTTTTTATTTATTGGTAACATTTTTGGTTGTTATCGTCGTATAAAAAGATAGACAGACGTTATTCTTTTTTTGAGTAAATTACGTCTTTCATCCCTATGGTTTGTTAAAAATTGCAATTTTCGTCCTTGTGGTTTTGAAATTGCTTTTTGTCTTTGTGATTTATTGTTGTTTTCGCTCTTGAACTAATTCGTACCTTTTAAGTACAAGGGACCAAAAGAGTATAGATTTGTAAAATATAGGGATCGGAATAACAATAAGTTTGTAAGTCGTAAGGAGGAAGATAGCAATGAATAAAAAACAATAGGGATGAAAAGTGAAATTTCTAAACTATAGGGACGAAAATTACAATTTTCAACAAACCATTACGAATTGTGTTTTTTGTCCCTCTTGTTTATGATTTATTGATATTTTTATTCTTGTGATTTACAATTTATTGTTGTTTCGATCCCTATGTTTTACAAATCTATCCTTGCTTCGATAAGTTACAAGGATGAATGCAAATAGCAAGGTGTTGTGTAACACCAGCACCCTCCCTTTAGCCTTACCGAGGAATAGTAAAGATAAAATAGTGATTGTGAGGCCCCAATTCTTGACTGGAGGGACACCAAAGGACTCTGTCCTTCCATCCCTTAGATAAATAACTGCTGAAAGCATCTAAGTAGTAAGCTCACCCCAAAATGAGTGAGCTTATTAGTGAAGCAAATTCAATGAAGCAACAACTGGTATCACTAAAATACATTTATCTGTATTCCCAAAGGTAGGAATTAAATCAAGAAATAAAATAACAATAAATTACAAACTATTAAAAAAAATTATTAACAAATTATAGGGAATAAAAATCCTAATTTACTCTTTTTTATATATTATGATTATTGAAAGATATTTTAAATATTAAAGAATTCATCGGTTCTTCTTTATACGCATGAGGATCATCATCTAGGTGGTATTAAGAGTATTTATAACATATTTTTTTAAATAAGAAAAATGGATGTGGGGTATGGCTCATGGTACACACCCCAAACTCGTGGTCTGCGCTCATGATTCCATTTTGTTTTAAATAAGAAAAATGGATGTGGGGTATGGCTCATGGTACACACCCCAAACTCGTGGTCTGCGCTCATGATTCCATTTTGTTTTAAATAAGAAAAATGGAGATTTTGAATCAATTTTATGTTTTAATAAAAATGGTAAATTGTATGAAAAAATAACGTATTTTAACTTGATTCCTATTTTGAGTAACGTACTTTCAAAACTTTCATTTTGTTACCTAAGATGTAAAGTTTTAAACATTTAAGTACTCGGGTAACCGGTAGAAGGATTAACTCTTTCTTCTAATAAAACACAATACATAAAAACCATTTTTAGATTAAGATATCCATGTCAGCAAATAATACCGAGTTGGATACCACATCACTCGCCACATCGGCATAGTAAACTTTTAAGGAATCTGTTGGAGACATCCTTAATAAACTTACAATGTTGATGAACGCATTGAAGATCATAATTAATGAAAGCTTCCTACCTTCTATTCTTGTAACATGCGATGTTATAGGCGGGAAAACTAGTTAGCGGTTTGATTTGTGAGTGTTTGGACCGGTTATACGTTGATTAATTCCATGGAGAACGGTTGGAAAAATCTAGTGGTTTTAGAGGGGCTTGAACTCGTGAATATTTTAGCCTTATTGTATGTGAGCTGGTTATTAGTTCCAATCTTCAGCATGTTTGAACCGTTTTTTATATAATCGACCCCAATATGGATGGGTCTTTACGAGGAAAAAAGGGACCTAGGGACTGTTTGGCAGTTGCTGAATGGTTTAGTGCAGAATGATTAAGTGGTGAAAATGATTAAGAGGTTCTCATGATATAGTGCAAAATGAAATATAATTGTTTGGTAATTGTTTACAATGAAATTAGGGCGTTGAATGGTTAAGGATGACTCATGATTCAAAATCATTCAGAGGGTTTTAGAACCATTAAAAGGCAGACCTTTTTTTTTTTTTGCCAAACAAGATTCACTTCTTAACGATTCAGAAACTGCATCTTAATGGAACTATTAATAAGTAAACAAACAACCCCTTAGTGTAATTGGGGGAACCAGTTCCCTTATCCTACAGTTTTTTTATATGTTTTGACTGTTTGTTTTATTACAGTCAACGTCAAAGTATCAATACAAGAAGTTGTTACACAAAGATTAAAAAAAATGTGATAAATTACGTGGAACATTTAAAACGTCGTAAATTAGAGCGATACAACTTACCAAGTTAAAAATAATCTCTCAATTTCCGTTTTTGTAATTTTACATAATCTAATTGTCTCACTTTCAGGTAGGGCGACAAACGTATTGAAGTCTCGATTGCAAGGATGTTTGGATCCGCCTACTAGTAAATAGTTCAACGGTTAAAAAAAATGCAGTAGACTTGTAAATAAAGGGGGTGATCAGAAAGATAAAAAAAACAGTAACTGTGTCGATCAGTCAAATATTGTCATTCAACAAAGATTGATCTATATTAACTGCTCGTTTGTAACATAGGACGTCGATAAATATGCATGCCTATTGCTCGTTTCTGTAGAAACCTTGTTCTTTGACTTCTATAAGCTCAAGTTTTACTTCGTTAATATCCAAGTGGATAAACTTAAAAGACCTCAAATGATCATAAATGACAACTTAGCTTATTCAGGCTTATTAGATTCCTATGCTCGATAGATATATATATATATATATATATATATATATATATATAGGTGGAGGTTCAAACGAGAACCCCTGTGATTTACGAGAATGCGAGAACAATCTAATAACCTCAAACTTTTTTAATTAATAAATTAACTTATATTAAATATAAATAAATTAATAAGGGCAGTAATGTAATTAATTAATTTTATAATTTTTATTTTATTTTAATTAGTCATAATTATCCCTTTTTTTCAGCACGTTCTTTTCCACTCTCTCTTCTCCCCTTGTGATAATTGTGTGATTGTGTAACCATAACCCATCGAAACCATAATCAATGAAGTGTAACCATAATCTATCGAAATCATGAGTAATCGTTGTGATAAATGTGTGATTGTCTAACCCTAACCGATCGAAACTATGATCAAATTAAGTGCGCAAGTGATTTTATAATAGTGATATCACATGATTATCACACCCATATCACACCAAATCGTTTAGTGGATTTCGCTCGTAATCGTTGTGATAAATGTGTGATCGTCTAATCCTAACCGATCGAAACCATGATCAAATCGAGTGCGATGTTATGATAGTGATATCACATGATTCTCACACTCATATCACACGAAATCGGTAGTCGATTTTCTAAGTTAACCCTAGCCGAGCGGAATCCTTGTGATAATTGTGTGATAATCACATGATTATCACACCCATATCACACCAAATCATGTTGATATAAGCGATAATGTGATAATCACATGATTATCACACCCATATCAC